AATTCTACGAAAAACCAGTACTAACAGGTCTCACGGAATTAAACCAATACCCCATTCTCCGATGTTTTCTTAACATGGATATTGTTGACAGTGTATGGAAACTGTCTTTATATCCTCATATTCCATTAGTGTACTTTGTGCAAGCATTGAATAACAGCATTTTAATTTTTGTACAGAAATGACAGACATAACTGTTTTTATTTTCATATAAAGAAGTGTATACGTAGAAATATTACTTACAAAAAAAAATTAAAAACTCATATCATCTTTTACAATAATTTTCATCTGTACCTTGGAAAAAAGTTCACTTTATAGAAAAAAAAATACAGTAATAGTTGCTTTCTGTCATGTTATGAATAGATAAATAATGGATATATTTCCTGGTGTTTTATATTGGCATGCATAAAACTTGATGTAAAATGCTTCATATGCCAGTGTATGTGTTTTATAGTTGAAAGTTATTGTAGAATGATTTTTCCTGCTTTCAAGTACTTGAATGCACAGAAAAATCCAATCAAGAAAAATTTTTACATGGCATACAACAACACATTACAAGACATTTAAAGTGTCACATTTTCCATTTTCTTTATCCTAATGTTACAGCTAGGAGATAAGTTTTAAATTTTTTTTTTTGTAAATAATATTTCTACACAGATACGTTTTTTATATAACAAGCAATTAGTTATGTCTGTCATTTCTGTACAAAAAATTAAAATGCTGTTATTCAATGCTTGCACAAAGTACACTAGTGGAATATGAGGATATAAAGACTGTCAACAATATCCATGTTAAAAAACACTAGAAACATATGTATCACACAAACATGTGAAGTGTACATGTAAAACTTAAGTTCTTTGTACTTTAACTTAAAATAAGAAAAATTATCAATCAAGACCTGAAACTGAATTTCTGTCAGCATGAAATTACACTTAAACACCTTGAATTACAAATCTGTTGTTCAACTTCAGGACAAGTTTACACTAGGATTACATAATTAAATGCTCTATTGTGTATTCTGTTACTCTGTTATCTTGTAAATGCATAATAACCACGTCTCTTTGTTAAACATACATGAAGTCACAACTTTAGAACAAACCATAAACTCTGGCTTTTAATTTATGTTTCATAATGAATAAATAATTAGCAGCCACAAGTAGCTCTCATAATCATAATGAGGCATTCTGAAAAAAATCAAGATTGGGTAATTGCTAAAATCTAATAGCACATTCTAAGCAATAAATGTAAACTTTTACTTATATACATTAATCTTCAATAAATATTAAAAAAACACTAAACTTAAGAAAATTGTAAAACATCATGGCGTTCTGGGTTGTTTCCAAATTTTGCCTCTACATCTGACACACCATGTTCTAGTGTATGTGTACCTTGTAGCTGTCATAACTTAAGGCTCAACTTACGGATGAAAACAAGTACTATTAGTATTACTATCTATGGGGTTTAGAGCCCGTTTCACTTCACCATATAGTAACTCAAGTTAATTTAGATATGTGAATAATGTTATAACATTTTGTCGAATTCATTATTCGATACGATATTATATTATTAGCATTATTGCTGCTAGTACTAGCGCTATCGACTCCGACGTCGAGTTCTACTACTAGAAGTAGTATAGTACATCAAAACTAGAAAATAAAGTAATTTTTCTGCATTTCTTACAGCAAAGTGTAAACAAGTAGAAAATAAAGTATTAAAATAATTAGCTAATTCCTTAACAAAGAAACAGTATAAAATAAATTATAATAGGAGAGACGCAAATACACATACCGACCAATTTCTCAATATCAAAACCAAAACTCGAAAATTCTCCGTGTGGAACTGTACAAGTTCAACAGGGTACTACTGTCACTATCGTTAACTATTCCTGACAGTTTTATCTTACAATTCTAACAAAAACAGACTAACAGGTCTCAGGAAATTAACCAATCCCATTCTAACTCCAGCGGAAGTTTATGATGCATCTTTTGACCTGTGATCTATGTTAACCATCTAATCTAGAGTCTTGTTTACTCTGCCAAAAGTTACTTCACGACGCCTGGCGCCAATTCCATTATTTACCTTTAAAATATTATGAAATTGCAGTATATAATTTAAAAGTTTCTTTTCTTTCCAAGTTAAAGTGAAAACAAACGTCCAACCTTTACTTTATTTAAGCGGTATCTACCCCCATGCTATTCTGATCAACACAGAAACGGAATTCGTTTCAATAATATATATAATAAAAGATTAAAACAGTGGTTGGCAACAGGCATGGATTGTTTAGAAATACAGATCAAGTAAGCGTGTACCATGAATTTAGGTATACATATATTTCATGTTATATAAATTTCGTCAGCTCAAACAAATTTATTAATACGAAGACGTAACTGTGCAGAATCCATCTTATGTGGAAAAGCCGTGATAAAGGGACCATGTAAAAAAAAGGGGGGAGTCCTAATTTATAAACAAAATTTAAAAACGTAACATCTGTTTTTGAGCTTAAGGCCATCAAGATCAAGTACGTGACTCATATCACAAATATCACTGGAAAACAAGTACAGTTCCACGTGTCATTTGTACATGGCAGGGAACAAAGGTCTTTGAAAAGGGGAGAGGAACGGCACTTTATGAATACGACTTGGTTTAAAACACTTTGTTAAACGCAAAATGGTTTTTGGTCAGTGCCCTGTAATAATGGCACCAGTAATAATGCAAAGTGGTAAAAATATAAGTAAATGTCATAAACAAACACTTTTGTTGTAATTCCTTTCCTTCGTGGAAGAAACAGTCCAATCCCCCCCCCCGTACTTTGCATAAACTGGTGTCAATGTTTCCTGGGAATTTTTCGATTCATCCAACCAAAATTCACAGAAATGCGCTGCATATCTGTCGAAATAGTTGGATAATAATAATAATAAGGTTTTACTGGTAACTACTTACATATTCAATTTACTTATCAAATTGACATTGCAGTCGACAGTATGTAGTGCTAATGTGAGAAGCGAGGGGTCGTCACGATCCTTCCGTAAACAATAACTTTACATGCTCTACTGCAACAATCATGATGCACAAGAATTTATGAACAACTTGTTATAAATTTCTACTCTGGAAACTAAAACTGTTATATGACGCATGATAAATAATTTCCTTTTAATAAGAATATACGACGCATGAATATATGCACATTATTTCAACCTTTTGACGTCTTTGTCAGTTTGACTTCTCTGACTCACCAAGTTCTCATTTCAATTTTGATGGATAGTTATAAAAATTTGTTTATCTGTTTAAAATAACACACACTTCCTTTATCTGATTTGGTGGATAGTTATAAAAATGTGTTTAATTGTTCTGTTTATAATAACACACTTCCCTTATCTGATTTCATGGATAGTTATAAAAATTTGTTTAATTCTTCTGTTTATAATAACACACTTCCCTTATCTGATTTAATGGATAGTTATAAAAATTTGTTTAATTCTTCCGTTTATAATAACACACACACACTTCCTTATCTGATTTGATGAAGTAATTTTTAAAAAAATCCTTTTTAAGAGAATGATGAATATAATTACACAGTTCTCGTTCTTCCCTCAACAAAATGTGTTGGTACCCTGGATGGTATTAGATAGTTTTGTGAAATATCCAATGAAGGTTGAATAGAGCGAAACTCTGGAATTAGTGTGATGTAAACTGACAGCAAGTACAAAAACGTTATACTATTTCACGTTACTAAATATTGGAAGAAATATCACGTATTTCAGAAACAATTTACATACAAATAAATCCAATTAATCCTTGAGAAAAAATAAAACACGAGCGTGTTTCTATGAACAGTAACTCCTTTTACAATCCTAATAAATAGCTGTTTTCGTTCTACCCAACCACGGTTTGTAGAAAGTGAATGTTTGAAAATATTTTAATTTATGACCGACAAAATTCTGTGAAACTATTTGAGATTCCCATGGTTCTAGTTCAGGTAATCTAATGTAATTTGTTTGTGAAAAAGGCAGAACAACAACAATTTAATGATAAAGACACATTTAAGTTTGTTGTAATTCACATTATTTTGTTTTCTGGTAGCTCTAGCCACGTAATCAAAACTGGCCATTTCAAAGATCACATCAGAAAAAGTGTGGAATTTATTTTACTAAGATGTTGAGTAAGAAATATTCTTTAAGTTACAAAGGCGAACGTTCTAGCAAGTAATTGTGCTTTGTGACGCATGATATTGTTACGTCTCCGTTTGTTAATTAACTTTCCGTAACTTCGTTCCGACGAAACTTTAGCGACACAAG